GGGCACGGGGAAAGCGGGAACGGGAAAAACAGGGAGGGGGGGGGAGGGGGGGGGGGATAATGCCAAGATAGTGGGGCTAAAATTAAAATTACTCTTATTACAGGGGGCCCTAACTTTCTAATTTTGCCAAGCTCATGTATTTAAGGAATACAATATATGACAGGGATGACAGACGCAAAAAGTAAAGGGGGCAATGGCAGTGGTTGTGGTGATGTGGGGGAAGGGGGGAAGTAAAAAATTATCAAGAGATCAAGGGGGGGGGGGCTGAACTAATTCTGCTTCTGCGAACATGTAGTCTGCTACACCTCTATTTTTATTCTCGTCACGCAACGATCCTCTCCAGATCGTTGCGTGACGAGACTAAAAACGGCTGTGTAGCAGACTAGCGAACGGGGGGCACTACATAACAATTTCCACTTTGAAGCTCATTTTTCAGCCCCCCTCCTGATACTTATTGCACTGAAGTCCCTAAGTTACTAAATCTGAACTAGTATTTTCAAGGAACAGTCGGGGAACTGTACGAGCATTGTTTTTCTAGATTCACCTGAAACGCAGGTAACATGCTAACAGTCACGTCACAGTTACATATTTTTTTTTGTCATGCAAATCGCTAAAGGATTACCACAAGTAAACACAGATTGAGAATATCTCAGTACACTGCAGTCAACGTTTTGATTTTTAAAATATATAAGGAAAAATCAAACCTTTCTTAATGTAAAGCCCGGTAAACACTGGTGTTAATAAATGAAATTATAGATTATCGTCTACTGATCATCTCCACTTATAGTCTCTGTTTAATAAAGGCCCTTCTCTTACATTATAAAGCTGTTCACTGTCTGTTCTTAGCCTGTTCCAGGCGTTCAGATAGTGGGGAGCGGTTCTTTACTCCGCACCGCTCTCCACTATCTGAACGCTTGGAACAGGCTATCTGTTCTGCATGGTTAACTTATCGTTTTCCTGCAGTACAACTCAGATTATTTCTGTATAGTCTAGGACTGTCGAGGTTTTATAGTAGCGCGGTGAACTCGCCTTTTGGCGGCTAGTCTAGTTTCCCTTTTCTGTGGCTATATGGCCGGTAACCGGTCAAGGTTTTCAAAACACTAAATGATCGGCAGTCCTATATTCTCAATAAATTTCACAAATCGAAAAAATCAAGCTAAACCAAACTATCATACGTCGATTAAGAAAATTCAAGCGATCCTGAAATGCCTTATAGATCTCAACTCTAGTGTTTGGTTGTCAGGGTTGTGCTCAGAAGACGAAACCATGCTTTGTGGTCCTTTGGGACACTTAGCCGGTCATTTAGTGTTTTGAAAACCCTGACCGGCAATCGAGCTGAAAAAAGGTCTAAGTGTCAAAAACAATTCAAGGTTTCGTCTTCTGAGCCCAGCGTAAACCAAACGCTAGACATGAGATATATAAAGCATTTCAGGATCGCTCGACTTTTCTTAATCGACATATGATATAGTGTTTTCAACACCTTGACCAGTTACTGTACCGGCCATACAGCCGCAGCGAAAAGCGCTTCCCTTTTTTCCCACTGCTGACCCTTTTTACTTTCCTGAGGTTTTTGCGATAACGTGTTTCCAATATATACTGTATGTACCGCGATGAATACCAAAACTTGGAAGGAGAAATCAGTTACCAGCCCAGAAAAAAAATCCAAGTTGAAACCGAACTCATGATCCTTTGAGTCAATTTTGTATTTCTGTTGCACATGCATTTTATCCCTCAAACAATAGTTGTATTATCTCACCGCTATAGTCGGAATGGTCAGGGCATTTTAAGTGACATTTTCCAAAACTACAGCAAGATACTTCGTTGACTTTGTCGATCTTCTCCGACGAAGAGGAATTAATGGCCTTAGCACCAGAAGTGGGAACACCTGTGGAGAACAGTGAGGAGCCGCAGGCAAATAGATTCGTGCTGCTCGCTTGACTCGTTGGGGCGAACGGGTAACAAGGAAGAATCTGGGACTGAGTCGCGACTTTTGAGACGGTGTACGAGGCGGTAGATCCACATATACTCCCAGTCGCCTTGGCGGAATTTATTGGCTTATTTCTTGGGCGAACAACGCCACAATTGCGGTTATTTGTGGTATCTGTTTCAGTTTCAATACTGTAGCAAGTATTTTTCTTTAAATTCAACGGCCTGTTGAAGAAGACATTAACTTCCCCATGGCTGTCGGAGTCGATGGTCTCTTTTCGCATAAAAGTCTTACTCTTAATTTGCTTTACCTTTTTGCCCTTTTCAGTGATTGATAGACTGACTTGACAGGATTCGTGATCTTTATCAGTAACAATCACTACACCTCTCAAGGTTATGTCCCTTTTTACTGCAAATGTGAACAGTCCTGTCTTATCAGACACATCAGACGTTGCCACACTGGCCTCCTGATCAGGAACCTGAACTTCGCCTGTGTTAAACGAAGAAAGAGGTTCGGCAACTGTTTTCCTTGGAGACAACGAGAACTTGAATCCTCCAGGGATGGAAACGGACGTAAACTGTTTAAAAACATCGACAACCTCAGTTAAGAACAAAATATCTGTGGGCATAACTACATCTGAAAACTCAGTTGGCGACATCAAAGAAAATCGAAATTGCTTTAAGAGATCTTCACCCATGAAGCGCCGTTTGTTTTCTCCGTTCACAGCAATACTTGCCTCTTCACATCTCTTTGCAGCCCAACCATCCAAGGCCTGAAATAAAGTTGTCTCCTGGATACGCGCAGATGATCGTTCGACAAACGAGAGTAAGAGCTCCTGTTTGACATCCAGAAACGACTCATCAGCAACGATTACTTCCGCGTTATAATCGATAACCTCCCAGCAAGCCTTTTCCATTTCTTCATTGTTGAATTGGCGAGCATAAGTTAAGACATCGAAGGCGTCCAGTGGCTCCATGTTTCCGTCTAAATACTTGACGCACTCTCTTGCAAGCGAGGGAAGGTCGTACATATCAGCAAGACGCCATACTTTAATGGCGCACTCGATGTCTTCGAAACTCGCTTCATCGCAATAGATGAAACGTAGGAAGTGAAGAAACACGTCTGGATCACAGTCAGTGATGTCTACACTATCGCCGCTTTCAGCCAGATCGCCGTAAAACTTTGTAAAGAAGACTGGGCTGCTAACAGCAAGTACATACTTATGAGCAGGAATCACTGAGATCGGTGCTTCGCTATTGACGCTCGGGAAGGTAAATTTGATGTCACTGAGAAGAGGATTTTTGAACATGTGTTTACTTCTTTCCAAGACCGAAGCTGCTTTTGTTTGCCACCTGTCCTGTGATTTAGGTGAAGCCATTTTCTGGATGTGAAAGCTTTGTTGGGCTAAGCGACAGTGAAAGCTCATTATAATAAGGCAGCAAAATGGATCGTCAAGAGTAACCTGAGTAATATCGTTCCCAGGGCCCTCACGTTTGGGAGAACCAACGTTACAGTGATATGGCCCCATTCCCAAAACCCTAGTGATATGGGCATCCCCTTCTCATATTGCCTTAGCGATTTGGGTTAGGGTTAGAGTTACAGGGGATGCCCATATCGCTACGATTTTGGGAATGAGGATGCCCAAAACGCTGGGATGCCCATATCACTGTGACACCGAGCGTGAAATAAACAAATAGCTACCGACTGAAGAATCAAAAATCCATAGGCTCTTCCACGCGGACGTGTCCTGAAGGAATCTTTCTTTCTTTAGGGAGGATTGCTGCGTGATGTTTTTTACGAGGCCAAATCAGCTCAAGAAACATAAACCAGCAATCTCTCTCTGTCTACTCCCAATTCCAATCTAAGTTGGCTCTATAATCTTGTCGACAAGAGATCTGGGTTCGAGATTAAATGGGGTCGTTTAATTTTACACCAATACACTACGGTAATTCCTCCAATGGTCTTCAACTATAATTCACTTATTTCTTGCCCTGCCAACAAACTGTACGATTTTCACAGAATAGGATAATCTAGTATAACAGCTACACGAACAGTTTCATGACGTTAATAAAATGCTTGACTCGTCGTTTCGTGCTGCCCTTTTGTCACATCGTTGTGTCACTTCCTTGCTTCCTTTTGTCAACCCTTCTGCAGTTTCCTAGTTTCTTAGTTTCGATTCAAGTTATACCAGGGGATACATCGGTCACGCTTAAAAAGTCGACTTTACCTAAGTAAAACGTTTGTAATGTGTATTGCATGCTTCATCCTGTCAAAATATTTGCACGTCTTGTTTGCCAATTTCGTTACCCTCGTGATCATAACAAGATCACTAAATTAAAGCCGGGACGATCTGTCATTCAGTTTTAAGCATGACACAATCGACCACAAAAGAAACATGGGTGACAGAGCACCAATTGGCTTAGCTTCCTATTAAAGCGATGCCTATCAGGCGCTGACAACTTCCGCGTCATGCATTGCTTTGTATTTACTGGATCGTTTGACTCGCAGGATCCGTCACTTTAGACATAAGAGGATGGCCTCAACACAAGCCGAAGAAAGATGGCAAACAAAACGAAGAACTTTTATGGAAAGAAACGAGTACATGTGGAACAAATCTCTCATGAGCGACGTTAAGTTTGGCTTTCCTAACACCACTGACACAAGCACTTACAAAACAGTCATTCCCGCACACAAGTATGTTCTTGCCGTTGGAAGCCCAGTATTCTATGCTATGTTTTACGGTAGCATGAAGGAGGAGAGAGACATCATAGAAATTACTGATTCTGATCCAGACAGCTTCCTTCATTTTTTGCGATTTCTTTATTGCGACGAAGCGAATTTCGTAGAAGTCGTCTCTGCTATTAAAGTCTGGTATCTTGCCGAAAAATATGACGTGCCATCGCTTTCAAGAGTGTGTGTAAACTTTTTGGATGGAAACATGGATCCACTGAGAGCTTTCGATATTATACCTTATGCTAAAAAACTCGGGGATGAAGGTCTGGAAGAGGCATGCTGGGAAGTGATTGAATACAACGCAGAAGTGATAGCCTACGACGAGACTTTTCTTGATATAAAACACGAGTTTGTAGTTTCATTTCTCGAGCGATCGCATCTCGTTATTACGGAAGTAGATTTGTTTAACGCCGTGGATCGCTGGGCCGCAAAGCAATGCGAAGACGAAGGCATGGAGACCGATGGACCAACTAAAAGGTCTGTACTAGGAGACAGTTTGGTGCAGAAGATTCGATTTCCTTTAATGTCACCCAAGGAATTTTCCGATTTGGTGTTGCCTAAAAACATCTTAACACAGGATGAAATTATCCACGTGTTTAAAAGTTTCTATAGTGATTACTCAGACGTTGTTGCCCCCATGTTCGAATTTCGTCCAAGGGTGAGTAGTGCACCCAGTCCACCCATGCTGTCCTTTACGTTTTCTCTGAATCCTTTGTTAAGGACAAGTTGGCAATATGTCTTTGAATCAGCAATGTTGTCCTTCGAAGTCAGTAGGCCCATACTTTTATGTGGTTTCCAGTTCCTTTTCAACCCCACGGCTACATCCGGGTGTGTCAGCGTAACAATGTGGCGGCGGGGCGTAAAGATGAAACAACTTATTGCCAAATCTCGTCCTGACACATGGAACACCGACTCTTTTCATGGACAAAACAAGGTGTTTTTCAACAGGCCATTTACCGTGGACGCTGAGACTTGCTACACCATTGAACTGCTTGGGGCATCGAGCCATTCACCGAGTTATTATGTCACAAACGATTCCTCAGGGTTTGATACCTACCCAGTTCAGGAAGACATAACAACAGATGAAAACTATGATGTAACTCTTAAATTTTGTGAAGGATTACGTGTTGACGAAATTTCCTTAAATCGCCCATATTTTGGACATATAGAAAAGGTGCTATTTACTGAAAAAGATTGTTCTCTTGAGTAGAGTAAAAATAGCATGGGTAGCAAGCGTTCCCGCGCGAGTTCGTGGCGGGAGAAAATCTACCTTGTCTAGCATATTAAACAATGTCCCTCAAACAAACCTTGCAAATGTAAACCAGGATTAAAATGCTTGAATATTATTTTTTTTTTATAGACATTGGTGATTAAAACTAGCCTAATGAATTTTTAAATTTAGGAGTTTTTAATAATCAAAGACTGGCAGAAATGATTTTTCGATCAAATCGCTTTCTCTATCTCATGGTGCGATTTTCCAAGAAACTTCACCGGAAATGGGCTGCCAAAAATGTCATTGTAATTTCTATTGTTAGTTTTCAAATGACGTCACTAAAACTATCGATCCTACTCTCATGATATTAGTAGGGGCGCGATCCATTCAACCAAAGTTTCCGGAAATTTCGGTCCAAAACTCAATGGATCGGTTCGGTCCAACCGGAAAAGTTTCGAAAAAACAGGTCCACCTTTTGAGGTGGTCCTCTTTTCCCGGTCGGACCGGTCTGAATGTTGGTTGAATGGATCGCGCCCCTATAGAGCACCTGAAAAGATTTGCGCTTCAAAAGGGTTCTTGGTATTTGTGACGCTTGCTTTTGCGCGAAGCGGCGCCAGCATGGCGTCGTCGTGCAAATCTCTATAAATTTGGGTAAAATATTTCTTCGAATATCTCGTATAAGAAATATTCCTCTGAGCTGAATCTTTGCGAGGGTCTTTGCATATTTACCACCTCTTTCATTTCTCAGATTCTGGACTTGATCTGTTGAACGGTTTTGAATTTTAATTTGATCTATTTTGAAAGGCGTGACACTGAACACCAGCAATATGCCCGAAAGACATATCAACATTGCAACAATCTTCTAAGGTTTATACTCCTACGGACAATGAACTTTTCGTTGATTCGTTAAATAAACATTCTCAGAAATACTTCCATGTTTCCCTGTCTTTTGTGTAAAACTATGTTTCAGCAGACAAGAGGTCACGAGAAGTATTTGAAATTTCTAGAAATGAAAACACGAACAGAAGAACAGAACCTCTTTATGCAAGAGAGAAGAAAACGTTCCAAATGCAAAACAACATTTCTCGTAATATCCTCCAAACGATCAGCATTACTGACAAATAAATGAAGGAGAAAATTATATATATATAAAATTAACTGTCGTTACAGGCGAATTTTTGGGATTTTTTTTATAGGTGCTTTGATCCGGTCCATAAAAGTTCAGTATAAACACCAAACCATGAACGCAGCATTCGAGAAAACAGAAAAGGTGTTCCACTTGAAGTTACAGTATTAGCTAGTATTTAAACTAATGATACTGGGAACTACCCAAGGCTTTTGACAGCAACCTAGAACTCTGGATTACGACACGTTTATTGTTCTTGTGCCGGTTGAATTGATTTACATTTACAAACTTTGCGAGAGGTATGTTCGCTAAGAGAGGTATGCAAGCTGTCCCGATGTTTTTTTTCTTTTGAACGTGCGGTATTTTGACCGAGGAAGTTCCGCTTTTCCGACAATATTCTTTATTTAGGTCGATTCCTCAAGGCAACTACAGCTTTTACTGTTCTGGCTTTACAACTAAAAGGGTCTAGGAAGAGTTGAATTCCCCTAATAGGTCTATATAGCAGATATAGAGGATAAAAATAAATCCTCTGTTTACATTCAACAACTGAACTGAGCAAAGCATATTATCTACTGAATCTCGGTTGGGTAGTAGTCTCAATATTTTACTTTAACGAAGAAGGTTGTCTCAACTTAATTCTCATCCACACTACTTTTCGAGATTTTCGTGATAGTCAGCACAAAAGTCAAGTTTACGAAATTTGCAAGGGTAAATAAATATGCCGACTTAGCACAATCTCAAGTACATCTAGAATTGAAAGAAACACGTAGTGGTAGTCTGTTTACCTAACTAACTTTTAGTCCACTTCTATCCGAAAAGTAGACTTACGTATACCTACAAGGCGAGCTCAAATTTTTTTCACGAGCGCGAAGCGCGAGCGGCAGATTTTTTTTTGCCGCGGCAATAGCGAGCGAGAGAGCCACGGCTGAGAGCTCGCTAGGTCAACTACCGGAAGCGGAAATGAGAAGCGAAGGACTTTGAGAAAGTCTATCCGATAAGCAATGATTTGGATAAACTAAACAAAGGACAAGGCCCTTGTTACAGATTGACTTTGCAAGCTCTATCGGATATTTAAATCATGTTGTCTGATATAGTCTAAACAGTCCATAAAATCTAGCCTGTTCCAGGCTCCGAGATGGTGGTGGAAAGTCGTTCAGTAATAAGAAATGCGAGTCGTGCGCGTCTTATTTTGGCTTTGCTCGTTTTAATACGTTTCCACTATACTATCTGAGAGCCTGGCACAGGCTAATAAAATCGGACATCTAAGGCGTAACTAGTGACGTATATTTACCCGCTAACAAGTGTCTTGAAAACTTGCACGTGACTTGCTACACGTCATCTGCTGGAACTTCCTGGTTACAACTATTCGACGTTCGTGTTTAGGTTCCGTTTTCACTTTCGCAGGGTCGCGTTAAAAGACAACCATGGCTGTTAACGAAGAAGAAAGGTGGCAAGCCATGAAATCAACGGTGCTGGAAAGAAACAGTTTTATGTTCAACAATTCTTTGATGAGTGACATCAAGTTTGTCTTTCCTAACAACACCATCATTCCGGCCCATAAGTACGTCCTTGCCATCAGTAGTTCGGTGTTTTTTTCGATGTTTTACAGCGATCAAACTGAAAGCAGGAACACTATAGAAATCACCGACTGTGATGCAACTTTCTTCCTGAATTTTTTGCGCTTTATATACACCGATGAAGTATATTTCGAAGACGTTGATTGTGCTATGAAAGTGTGGCAAATAGCTGAAAAGTATGACGTTCCTTTGCTTGCAAGAGAGTGTGTGATGTTTATAGACGGAAACATGAATCCAGCTCAGTCCATTGATGTTTTGCAACATGCCCGCGAGGTCAACGAGAAAACTCTGGAAACGGCTTGCTGGGAAATGATTGATCACAATGCGGAAACAATTTCTGAAGATGAATGTTTTCTTAGGATCGAAAAGGAGTTTTTGCTTTCGTTCATCGAACGATCGTCCTTGCACATCGAGGAAACACAGTTATTCCACGCCATAAATCGCTGGGCCGTTCAGAGATGCCAAGAAAACAACTTGGTATGTGATGGACCAAACAAAAGGTCGGTTTTGGGAGAGGATGTGTTGAAGAACGTACGATTTTCTTTGATGCTACCAAATCAGTTTACCGATCAGGTGGTCCCTAAAAACATCTTAACAAATGAAGAGGTTATCCAAGAGTTTGTACGTTTCAGTCAAGACTACTCAGAAATTACAAGGGCAGCGAGTTTCTGCACCCGCTATTGTAGAATTGCCGGTGATTCCTTGAACTTACAGACGGGCGTGCAGCTATCTGACACGCTTACCCTAAAAGCCAGCAAGCCTGTCCTTCTGTGCGGGTTACAATTCGTTTTTGAAGATTCTAAAGAAACAGAAGGTCACCTCAGTCTTGTTTTATGGCGGCAAGGGGTTAAGATTAAACGCCTTACTGCCAAATCTGAGGCTGCATCCTGGAACACTGGCTGGTCATTTTTTGGTGAAAACAAAGTGTTTTTCAACAGGCCAATTTCTTTGGACGAAGAAACTTGTTACACGATTGAACTGTTAGGGGCATCAAGTCGTTCAACAAAGTACTACGTTAGATGCAGCAATACCACAGGGATAACGCAAAGAGCTTCAAGCGGCCACTACTCAAGACCCACAAACTCTTCCCGCTCAACCGATGTAACATTTAAGTTCTGCGGAGGGTTATTCAAAGATGCTATTCCAGAAAATCCATATTTCGGACTGATAAGTAAGGTATTGTTTCAAGATTTTTCCACTAAACAACTGTCATCGTCAGAAGATGACATTTACAGTGTCAAGGAGGATTTCTACGAAGAATACCTCCCACCTGGAGTCTCGGACTAAATTACATTGTATATAAAATGCTAACACAAGTTCTTATTGTAGGGACAGACGTAAAACTAATTACAGAAAAACCCACCGAAATAACTTATATTTTGTCCAGGTTGGCCTGTAAAGGTTCTTTTGTAAGTGATGTCTACTTTTAAGTAGACACCACTAGACACCACTGTAAGCGAATATCCATTGACACTGCTGGAAAGAGCGCCTTAAAATTAAGAAACTTACCAAGTTGATAGGTGGTACGTTAAAAGCGAGCAAAGGGACCGCTCCACAAGGACGCGAAATTTTACGGACGTTTGAATGGTGGGGGCACTAACTTGCCCCCCACCCCCACCATACCAACGTCTTTAAAATTCGGCGACTTTGCGGAGCCATATCTTGGTTAGTTTTCACAAAATCACTTTCAAACTTGGTAACTATACTGATTTTAAGGCGTTCTTTCCAGCTGTGTTGACGGATTTTCGCTAACTGGTCCCAGGCAATAGTCAAAAACCGTGGAAGAGTCTCTAGGCGTTGTTCCTTCCTACTTTGATCATGTATGAGGCACATGTTGGTAATTGTCTTTAAAAGTGACATTATGTTCTAAGGAAATAGACACCCTGCTCCAGTTCTCCAGACTTATTTTTCTGATTTTCGAGATAAGAATCTTTTTCAGTCTTTAGGCTCAACTGTATTTTATACACAGAACTTTTAATGTGGAAATTATAACCTAAGGGTTCCTAATCACTAGATTCTTATCTCCATGGGTGAGTTATAACTGTCTGTATTATCATAAATCTAAATTTCATTCTTCAGATTAAATCTAAGAAAAAAGAAGTTTTTCACAAAATTAATTAGTTTATTTTGATATACCGAACAATTTGATTGCATCTAATTCAACGTTCACTTTGCTGCTCTTCTGAATCATTGGTTGCTTGACTGGCCACAGAAGCTGATGAAGAATTATAAAGTTTTTCTTGTTGCTGATACAACTTTTTCAGTTTCTTGATCTGTTTGCCACTCAGTGGTTCACCTGCTTGGTCATGAGTTGGAACACCCTGATACAAATAATGACGAAATTGACTTTTTACTACAGTGGAATTTTTCGAAATTCCCCATTTTCACATTGCCCTCAAAATTGTGTATCCTCATTGTCTTCAGTAAGGAGCTTAAGCAACGATAACGGCGACGGCAACGAGAACGGCAAAAAAAGCATTAGGTTTAGACAAGAGTCATAATCTTGGTTTAGATCGGCAAAACTACAACTTTGCACGTGGAGCACGCTTTTTTGTACATTTCTTTGCCGTCGTTGCGCGACCATAACGTGAAACTTCCTATTTTCACGTTTCATGGAGAACGTGAAGGCACATGACAACAATTTTCTCTAGTTCTTTGTCAGAACTTCGATACACTCCTTTAGAATTCAACACCAGAATAATTCGCCGTTATTTGCCGAACTGAACGAGATGGAATAAACGCGGTAAAGTTTGAAGCAGCGTGAATGTACTTTTTAAATGACATTTTTGAAGCCGTCGCCGTCGTTGCACGCAGCGGAAAGTGCTTATGGAACTCTTAACAAAGCAACATAACTTAAATTGCTAACCAAGAAAAGAAATTGTTTTAATGACTCAATTTATTGTACTTGCCGGGGAGGTGCGTTATGTATTGTAAACATACTGACCTGTTCATCAAATTTTGAATACTTGTCTGTTTCATGTTTAAACATTTCCCACGGTGGAATCTTAGCTTTAGCTGCTTTTGCCGCCTGAAAAAGAAAGGAAAGTGACGTCTGAAACATTATCGCCAAGAAACAACGCTAAATCGAATGGTTACTTTTGGAAGCCTTGAGGTAGCAGTAAGGCTGCAGGCTCGGCACAAGGGATGACCGAGTCTGGTGCATTTCGGTGAAGAAAAGGGAAGCGAAAGTTCAGTTTTAGAAAGTAAACTGATGAAAAACTAGATTCAAACTTTCACGTGCCACCAGCTCTCGTTGGACATTACCTATCAAAAACAGCAAACTCTCCCCAGTTACTGAAGCGCTTTAGTTAGAAGCCTCTCGTAGGCGACCGCAATTATCTTTAGGGGAAACGGTTTGATATGCTCTAAAGATCTTTGCCTACGATAAGCGTTCTAATGGTGAACGTTGGTTCTTTGTAAGTAATGTGTTGGTCATAGTAAACTAGATATTTTTAGATTGGCAGACTTGCAGACTCTCGGTTCGACTCTCGAAAGCAACGACTGAATCTTGGCATCAAGGTTGGACCGTCTTGTTCACTGTGACAAAAACTGAGTTCTTCAGCCTGGCTTAGTAACCACAAGCATACGTCAAAGATCTCTACCTTTTCCGCGTCAAGCTTTTTCTTAGCTTCTTCTTTTTGCTTCTTTTTCTTTTCTTGCTCCTGAAAACAAAGAAGAATAATAGGGTCATTTACACGCCGGGAAAAATAAGACGTGTCTTACATCGGACTCGTCGTGTACCACTGATATGATGAGTGAACAGTTGGTATAAATGGTTCGTGTCTCATTTCTCGCACGGACTTAAAGCAGCGACGATGGCGACGGCAACGAGAACGGCAAAAAAACGACTGGTTTAGACTGGCAAAACAACAACTTTGCGCGTGCATCACGCTTTTTTGTACATTTCTTTCCAGTCAATGCACGACTGCGACGTGAAACTTCCTGATTTCACGTTTTATGGAGGACGTGGACACACACAAAAAATTTTTTTCTTTTTCTGAACTTAGATAAAGTGCTTTAGAATTCCACTCCAGAAAAACTCCTCAACATTTGACAAATTGAACGAGATGGAAGAGCCATGAAATTTGAAACAGCGCGAACGTCCTTACTGCTTAAAATAGGGAAATAAACTGAAAAAAGTAAAATTCACTAAGCCTGGAAAATTCTTGTTTTAATTTTAGTGCGATTTGTGCTCTGTTATGGCAAGGAGACAGCTGAGGAGATCGTGATCGTGACATTTGGACCAAATAAAGTAACGCAATAAATTTTAAATTACATTACGATTTCTTTATAGATATAAAGAAAAGCAACTTTTTAGAAGACCGTTTTTAGCTGTCCAGTTTCAGTCTAAAAATCTACAACGTGAATGCTGGTAACCAGACGGTAACCGTTGTTACGCTTCTGTGAGTTCTGTCAGCACAGGCGCGAAAACCCACTAAAAAGCCAATCAGAAGCGCGGTTATATTGAAAAAAAAAAGGTTAACATAATTTACGCATCAGGTACGGCACATGTGAAGTACGACGTATGAATCGAAGTCGACCTTTTGCCGTTCTATTCGACAAGCTCAGTCGAATAGAGCGGCAGAGTCGACCCAAATACAAAAGCGCCGTTCTAAAATGATTTATACGTCGAACTTTACATGTGCCGAACCTAATAATTAGGTTCGGCACATGTAAAGTTCGACGTTTGAACGGGGCCTCATGTTGCCATTAGCAACTGCAATCCAGGATAATCTAGGCGCGTCTTAGAACATCGAATGAGTATCATTGCGCGTTCGCATCTTATCTAAGACGCGAAAGTCATTTATACGAGGTTTAAAAACGCATCCTATCTAAGATCAGGTGTTACGGGCGGTTTTCTATTAGACGCGTCTTATTTCAGACCAAATGTGCTATTTATTAGAGAAGTTCACGCGTTACGTTTTATGTGAAACGCATCTTATTTTACTCGTATACATGGCCCTAAAACTAAAGTAATTTACCTTACAAATACCAACACGCACTCAAAATCAAATTAACCAATTAGCTCTCGAAACCTATGACGTAGCCCAGGGCTAAGGGCGGGAAAACGCGTACCAGCAAGAAACCATAGATCTTTCCTGCATTCCTGTAAACAAAGGCACCAACTCGAGGCTCGGGTGGACAAAATACAGTGATTTGTATGAAATTGTCCACCCGAGCCTCGTCCTCATTTCTTTGTGTGTGCTTACTGGAGCGTAATGCGGGAAAGGTCTATTGGATTTGACTTTGCTTCTGGTTGGTTGAAAAAAATCACACGAGATCTTTTAGCCAATCAAAGAGCGTAAAATACAGAAACCCAAGAGCCATAATGAGAAATCTAAGTATTCAAGTGATTATATTCCAAACTGAGTTGAAAACAGCTTTAATTACAAAACAAGTAGAAAGTACTGCTTAATATACAAACCAATTTCATGGCTTACCTCTAGCTGCTGTTGTTTTTCTTTCAACAATGTTTCTTTGTCAACGAACTTTATCACAGGAGCGTGGCCTCCTAGCAGAGTGACAGATACAACAGACAAAATACAGGTGATTACAACCTTCTACGTAAAGGTTGTAACTATCATGCACGGCTAATTCCACTGACTTCCTTTTCTTAACTTGTAGCTGTGTTGCACAAGTTGTTATTTTCTGTTTCACGGATCACGTAAAATCACTCTGTACTTGAGAAGAAAAGTATCTTTTTACACACTAACTGAAATAAGTTTTAATAGGTACGCTACAGAAATATACCGCGGCCAATTTTGTTTAAAATACCCGGATTGTTTAGATGGATGTTAAGACCTCATCTCAAAAAAGTGCAGTGAATTGTTTATTTTGAGAAGAGAGTGCATTTTGAATACCAGGACCTCTCGGTGGAGGAAGGAAAGCGAAGAGAGAAATGATGTGCGCACAAACGGAAAAAGAGGAAAGAAGACAAATTATTGATATTTACCTTCAACGTCTTCCAGCTTTACTCCTAGCTCAGGCAAACTGACATCTCTTAACTCGTCGCAAGCGTCAAGGATTCTTGTCACTGGAAATGAAAAAGTAGCAGTGTCTTTTTAAAAAGTTCTGAGTGTGGCAGTAAGAGGACAAACAAAGGGATAAAAAGTTTAGCATTACCTTTCTCTTCTCGAGCAACGTTCCGAACTTCGTCTCTAAAATCAGCAAGTAATTGAACATAAGGCATCGCTACTTCCTCGAACTGGAAAAAAGCAGGAAAAAAAAAACCCGAGACGCTGATGTTTGTTTTTTAAAGGAGAAACGTCTTTAAAGGGGCTATGTTGTGGTTCAATTTCTTTCCTTGGTTTAAATCATATTTTCTTTTGTTTTTGGATACGGTAATGTATCATAATGAGTTTGAAACAAAAGATAACAAAATTTAAACCAAGGATAATTATAAAATTGAATCGCAACAGCTGTTACGAGGAAATTTCTGTTTTAGGTCAACTCGGTGGTAAAGTCATTAGTTAATGCCTTTATACCCGTAAACAAAATGCCCCGTTAGAGGGAAGGAATAACTATAACTAATCAGGGAGCACTAACCATAATAATTTCTTTGGTGATTTTTACAGGCATAGAGCATTAACACTTGAAAAAGTTACCCACCCCTTGTCTATCCTTACCATGACAGGACTAAATAAGACTGCTTACATATGCCTACATATGGTCTTAAATAACAAAACTGGATCATTATCTTTGAAATTAAAATAATGCGAAGACAACTCAGTTTTAGCTTTTGAAAAAGGTAGCAAATAGCGTGCATGACGCCATTAAAAAACTGCAAAATGTTTTTGTTTTTTTATTAACTGAAAAATAAACTTTAACTCGTATCTTACATTTGCTGCAGCATTTTTGCCGGCTACAGGAAATCCTAGGGCTTGATCTTCGTCAATAGCTCCGAACACCTGTAGTTATGAAAAAAACACGAAATGAAAAGATCGTTAATTAAGATACAGTAAGGTTGTCCAAAGACACTTGTATAACTCCCTGCACATAGAGTACATTAGAGAAACAAGTAATGAAGTTCTCACTTAAGAGCCTCTGACAGAAATTCTACAATGGTAACCATTCAAATATAAACTCTCCTGCAATAACTTTGAAGGGTACAACAGTTGAACCTCTAGCGAGTAAAGCAACCACCCAAAATACGAGGACTTTGTGGTTGCTAAGGGAGGTGGTTGCTTACGAGAATCGAAACACAGGAAATCTTTTTCGACAAGAGGTCCCGACATTTCTCTCTTTTAGCAGAGAATGTATTGCGTGCAATTTTTAACTTACGTAACTATACGTGCAGTTCCATGTTGTCACTTAAATTTCGTCGTATACGCTGGTTGCCTAGCACATACGAAAACAAAAGAGACCACACCCAACCTTGTTCCCAGGGTTCTCTCCCACCCGTCCCTACGGAGCGAGGTTGAGACCACACCATGGTTAAGTGGCCTCTTAAAAGTAACCTCGTCCCCAGGTTCTCTAACCTACCCGTCTCGCTCTGTAGCGACGGCGTGCGAGAGAACTCACTCTGGAAACGAGGCTGGCTTACAAGTGGTTAAAAACAAACTGAAAAAAGTATGAAATCATCAGACCTAAAAGTGATCTCCGTCACTAATGGAAGGTAGTGGTTTACGAGATGTGGTCGGACATGGAGGCACGACTCTACTTTTTCGTTGCTATTTCACCCTGCAGAGCTTTTGGCCCCATAATTCTTTCTTCGTAAAGCACAGCACGTCGTCTGCTAACAGCCGCCATTTAAAATTTTCTAGCTTGCGTTGCACGTGCCAGTTTTGTTTCGGGCAAAAGGAGATATTTCGAGGACACGCGCGCGCTCCATAAACATTAACCAAAAAACCAACAGGTGCCTGTCACACAGACTAAGAATTTTTCGGGAGCAAAATCTGAAAACTTTTGGTGAGGGTTCTTGATATTTTCGCTACATAGTGTAGTGATTTACAGACGAACCTTAAGCATGCGGGTAAGATACTTGGCAATTCCCTCGATTAGTTGATGGTTTGGCGATTCCTTTTTGTCTTTTTTGGTGCTGATGTAGATGTTCGCTTGTTTCACCAGATCTTGCATGTGCCGCAAAGCCGAAGGTGTATCGATCGAATCTGACGATGCAAACATATCTTTCATCACTGTCATATTCAAGTAAAGTCATATTCTAATTGTCAATGACGGTACAACTAACACTGACTAACTGAAACAGGGGCCAATAAAAACCGGCTACAGCAATACAGCTAAGGAAAAGCTTAACATGCTTATTTATTACTCAAGACGGCTTTCTACTTTACTTCACCTTCAAAATTACCCTATGTCTTTGTTTTCCAGTGCAATTTAACTCAGCACAGCGAATTTGGCGGGCAAAGAACTCTAAAAATGGACAGTGAAAGGCAAGCGCGCTGTGCACGATGAATGCTCCAGGATCACGAGCCCTTGGGGTCAACAAAGGAGACAAAACAGATCCGGGTGTTTATAAAACAAGGATGTTCTCGGTCCATCACTCCCTAGGGCAACAGCGATGACGCAGTGGTGAGAGCATTTGCCCCCAACCCATGTAGCCCGGCGGGTTCAAAATCCCGGTGTTGACGCCATATGAGGCTTGAGTTAGTTGTATAGTTTTCTACTCTGCTCCCAGGGTTTTCCTCCGGGTACTCCGGTTTTCCCCTCTCCTAAGAAAAACCAACATTCCAATTTCCAAGTTGATTGGATATGTGTTTCTATTTAGTTGGGGACACTTAAAGGACCAAAGTTTAATCAGTTCTTTGAACTGTCAATCCTGTATCGATAACGTTAGTTTAGTTTAGTTTTTAATTTAGACTCTTTGAATCACGAGCCTACGGAACGTACCACACAAAGCTTCGTGGACCACTGATTTCTTAGCAAGGAATCTAAAAATAAAATTATTCGTCAGATAAATGAACACTGTTGATATGGAGAAAGATAGAGATAGCAAAACGGGGGATTCGTATGAGATTCTGGTAAACTGCCCACTTACCCCTCCCCCAGTCAAACGTTTTGCCTTACAGAGGAGTAAGTGGCGGTCAACTTTGAGTTTGGGGAGGGGTAGGTAGGCAGTTTCTTAGAATCTTATACTGATCCGAAAAAGAGTAAGAGATTGAATCTCACTTTTCTTGAAGATCTTGTTCCAAATCATGATAGTTGTGAGCTGACGGCGACATGTCTTCGGGTTTTCGAAGAATATCTTTCACATTTAAGAAAAAATCCTAAAACAAAGGAGAAAACAAAACTGAAAACATTTTCGTCTAAGTGTTAAATTACGTAGAAAGATAAAAGAGTCCAGATGACAAAATCAGTGAATAAAAGTAACATAGAAAAATACAAATACCATATCTGGAAATAAAAGAAACGACGCACAAGACGGACGAAAGAAAGTGTGAATGAATGGACATAAGGCAGCCAAAAAATATAATGCATGCGCGAAGGAAAAGCACGAACAAAGGAATGTCTGAATGAACGTAACGGCGCAAAAACGAGGTTTAATTCAGCTGCACAGCTATTAGCTGTGTTGTAACAAGGTTTTAGTTTTTAATTCATGGCGTGGCACCGGTTCTGCGGCCCCTCGATCTTCCGGATAAGATCAATGGGCTTCGGCTCGCAGGGTAACTGATGAAGGGCCAGGGGCCCGTTTCTCGAAAGTCCCGGTGACTTTACGGGCCCGAAATGAAATATTCAAATCGAAATATAAAGAATAAGAGCGCGGGTCCTGGCTAGCAAACTACTCCATTTTGTTTCATTAACTGACAGTTTTATCATGTTAGATGCAAAACTATTTAAACCTCGATCTTTAATGTAAACAGAGACAGCTTACCGGGCCCGTTAATTATCGGGACTTTCGAGAAACGGGCCCCAGGCCCGAAACGTTTGGAAAGCCAGAGCTCCATTTAAAACACGGCACTTTTGTTCATGCTTTACTTTTTAATGAATATTTTCTTCACTTGCACAACTATTATTGAAAATGAAATTTGACAACTGATTGGGCACTTTCCAGACCCAGATCTTACCATTACGGAGTAATGGGGTCATGTTTAACCTTGATTCCAGTTTAATTCCAGTTAAATTAACGGTGCAGCTGTACCAATCGTACAGTTCAAGTTTTTACGAAGCAATTCTGTGATTATGGAATGGAATCAGTAGAAACGGCTGCGTTTGTAATGCCAGCGATTTCTTGCAACGATTGTCCCTTTTAATTTGAAAGCAATGACATTCTCCTCTCCCGAGCTGCCACCCTTTTGGCCAGCGCGACGGATTGAGAGCTCTGAATGGGACCAGAACAGCACACAAGCGCACTAGTTTCCCATTTTTGTAACCTCTGATAACCTTTATTGTTTCAAATTTCTGGGGCTGTATAGACAGACGGAAGTCCGTGATTTGTGCGGACTTCCGCAGCTTCGGCTTCAGCCGTAGCCCTCGATCCATGGTGCTGGCCAAAAGGAACACAGCCCTGGGAACGAAAAAGAAAGCAATGACAGCGAAAGAGGAGATATCGTGAGCTCTTTGTAATCTTCGTTTGCTTACTTCGTGTCTCATCCGGAAATCTCCGCTTTCCGACATCACTTTTCGGGCGACAATCGTTCCTACCCAGACTCGACGATTATCTGTCGAGACTTGAACCAAGACTTCATGACTCTATCATCGGTCACGTTTGTTTGTTAGGTCGAACCGCGAATTAAACTAGGATCAAGATGAAACACGACTCCTCTGCTGCCAAGGAGCTTATAACATTGGTTGGAAGGAATTTTTTGAGCCGTTCCCAAGGAGTACTGTCATGGCAAAAATTTAATCTTACGTTAAACAGCTTGTCCGTTTGTTCCGCTTCTCGTAACACATTTTCGCTGTAATCCAAAGTGGCATTCCACGCATGAAGCAGAAAAGCAAATCTAATTTGCCGTGCTGAATTCCTCTTCAAAGCGTCCTGGAAAAAATAACAACATTTTACAGTGTTTGAGATTTAAAAAAAAAGAGATACATGTGGTATACTAGAACCACAACTCCGTTTCCTAATTGAAGGCGAAAAATGGTGCTCTCACAGGATCGCAAGGTATAAGTTACACAGTCGGGCATCCCAAAAAGACTCTGACTAAGGGCTTATTTAACCCTTTTCCTCACAATGTAGCCTGCACGACAAGCGTTTGAACGGGAAGGAAAAGGATAGCTGTGAGCAAGCTCTCCATTTCGAGTGGCAAGCAAAGCGAGCTGTGAGAGAATCCACGAGAGAGAGGCCTTTCTTTTGCCGCCCCTCGCTCTTGTGTCTCCTTTAATCTCGCGCGTGACCACTCACGATATCCCCGAAATGGACAACTTGCTCGCAGGCAAATGCGCACAAGAATGCGATGGGCACGTGGCTTCTCTCCCGCGCCCGTCTTCCTTCCCTAGCGCGCCTTCCATGTACACTACGCCTTTCCCTCTCCATTCAAACGTTTGCCACGCAGGCGTCTCACGATTTGGTAACCTTCGCTATGGATCGCGATTCATAGAGTTTTGACCTGGAGCTGCGGTTCGCCTAGGTTGCACAGACAATGGTCTACTTACTTGTATACTTTATCTTAAATTCTTCTTCTCAGTTTTTTTCTTTTCTTTCTTTTTTTTTTTTATTGTCATTTTTAACCTTAGGGCCAATAACGACCAACAAACAACTCACCGCTTGAACACTGAACCAAGAGAGAATTCTTGACTGAACAGTCATTAGGCATACCTTGATTGTGATGAAGTTTTTCAGAGATTTGGACATTTTGCATCCCTCTATGGTCAAATGTCCAGCATGTAAGAAGTAATGAATCCACTGGCACACACCGTAATGGGCCTACAAAAAATTATTTTGCGTTTAAAATCAGTTCCTAATTTCACTAGAATTTTAAACTTTAATCATTGGCGTGAGACACAGGAATCCCATGCAGCCCAAGGTTAACAAGTTATCTGTGGCATATTTAGCAACTAGGAGTATTGGTGAATCCTAGGGATATTAGCTATTCATCACAAGGAAACAACAAACGTATTGTACCTAGTTCACCTCTTTCTTCTGTGTAGTTAGAGGCAATGTCTGGTGAAGACCTTTGTTAAGAGAGACAACTTGGCGATAAGGGCGAAGATCTATCGTTTTTCTGTTTGCTATGTATTCGAATCTCGCATATGTAACGTTCATCTTGTATCTATATTCATTTTGCTTTTATAGCCCCCGTTGAAGGTTTGTGTTGCAAACCGAAATATGGGGAAAATAAAGTTCACCATTTTTTTTCACTTTCCTGCCGTAAGGATTGGGTTTACTGTTGTAATTTTAAAATTTGGTAATGAAGATTTTACTGATCCAAAAGATCCGGTGGACCCTCACTGGTTTGTCGTCGTGGTTTTGCGTCCACAAGTGTTTCTTACGCAACATCTGAAACCATCGACCTGCAGATTTGATGTTCAGTGTGCTGCTAACAACCATTCACCTAAATATGGAGTCATGCACGAAAAAAATCTTCCCATAGTGTGCTATTTTGCTATGCTGTGCAATGTAAATTTGCGGATCACGTCCTTAAGAGCCTACAGCAAGAGGTGTTTACGTTATGTAGCTTATACAGTGTGATGCATTTAGCTTTTCGACTAACCTCAGATTGTGCAAGTTCATTGTCATGATGTGGAAATTTCAAATCCACTCCTCCGGTATGAATGTCAATTGAGTTACCTAATATTGCGCTACAACAAAAATTTAAAAAACAAAAAATTAAGTAATTATATCAGAAGCAAACAGAAGGTCCCGGACACAAAGGGGCCCCCCTTTCCTAAAAAAGATTGAGTCGTTTCCTGCCCCTACAGGTATCCGCGGTCACCTCGCCACCTTACTATCACCATCTTGCTACCAAGAAATATATATCTTAATACTTATCAAAAGGACAAGTCTCTAAGAAGAATTCTTTCACTTTAAATTTACAATGAAATTTAAGGAGGTAGGGGGTTCAAGTGACAATATTAACCAACTATCATAAGAAAGGCTGTTGGATTTTCAACAAATCGCACTTCTCGAGCGATGCAAATAAGCCATATTAAGGTATTAAAAAGTCGCAATTATTCACCAATAATAAAACTAAAGATGAGAGGTTCAACGCAAGGTGTCAGTTAAAATCTATAAACTTGTACATGGTCTTGAGGAAGAATTAAGTAACAATCCCAGGTAAGTAAACAGTGTCAATTATTTCAGAGATATTATGTGGTGGCGAGGTGACCGTAAACCCCCCTACACATCCACCACCTCTAAAGAGAATACTTGATAATATGGACCCTACTTTATGAGGAATACACGTGAAAAACATCTAAGACTGAAAGAGCTGTTTACTTGCAAACAAGCGTCACAGGAGGATACACAATAGAAATTAAAGCAATTTTAGGTCAATGAATATCGTCCAACAGGCTTATAAATTATATTCCTACGCTGAGTAGGTGATCTTTGAGTACTTGCATCAAGACCACCGCTTTAAGTTGGGAAGCTGTTTTTCCAAAAAAAAAAAACAAGGAAAGGGATAAATAAATAACAAACAGAGGATGTACAAACCTCGCCATAACTGAGCATTCTACGTGCCATCCTGGCCGGCCCTGCAGTACAGAGAACAAAGATGCCATGTCAACTAGTACAATAGCTTCTTTTCTTCTTCCAAGACTTTTTCTTAATTTGACAATATTTATTGATATTCAAAATGTAGATAGATCCACTCAAAAACGGCCTGTAATTGGGGCCCTGGAAGGCCAATCCATTATTTCCCGTATCGGGTCGTTTCTCCAGAAGGTCGATTCGCACGATCGCAGTTCGCTCAAACTAAGTCGATTCGCCCAATGTGTATTTGTCGTTCTTTGAGCCTGAGAAAGAGGAATAAGCATGGAAAGACAGTGACTGCACATGAGGAATCCAAGGTTAACTAAAACAACATCTCGAAGACTTATGTTCACCATGCTGTAGAGTGTGGTATGTCATCGGGCGAATCGACTAAAGTCCTACGAACGCCTTCGGGCGAATCGACTTTCGGGCGAAACGACCACAACAGGGGCACCCAACGACTATTTTCGGAAAATATCTGTTCGGAAGACGATTTGAGATCTAGAATTTTCGGAACATTTGTTTTAAAATTTCTTGCTTGCCTGCCTCTCCTAGGATTTTCGAACATCTAAAAAATTGTATAACTGCCTATTTTTAACCTATTTTTACCCTAAAAAGGTCACCTAGAATTTTCGGGGGCCTTTTTTCTGGCTGAAATTTTCGAAAAGGTAAGTTTTGATCCCTATAATTTTCGGATCACTAGACTTTCAGCTAGTAAATCCGAACAGATGAAAAATTTTTAGGGATAAAAATACCTAATATATATTTACCGTTTAAATACTAAAATACGTTTAACAATGCTATGTTTAAGTGGTTTTGAACTATATTTTCGTTGGGTGCCCCTGCCACAATTCTTATATCCCACGTTTTAGCTTCTGGGGTCGACTTATAACGTGGTTGTCCTAACAAATTAGTTGGATATGTTGGATACAAAATGACAAAAAGCTAGTCTTTTAAACAAGCTGAGCAAGAAGAGAGAGAGTCGTGGATGAGAGGACAACGGACGTGCCCTCTTACAATACATTTTAACATGTGAACAGTAAGCTAGGACGTCAGCATACAAAGGCGCCACTGGCAGCCGCTCTAAGTGAAAGCTAAAAGACCGTGCCGCCGAATGCTAGCCTTCAAAGCAGGTATAATGGAAAGAGCATGCATGGAGGAGAGCTGAGTTAAATTGCACACTGCCTCAAGGTGACTGAGAAGATGTCAATGGCAAGCTGTTCTTGTTGTCAAACTAAACTTCTAAACTAAACTTCTGGTTGATAACCGTAGATAGATAGATAGTTCATTTATAATCACACCGCAACCGGGAGGTTGAATTAGGCGATTATTTACAAATAATTATGATTACTTAAAAATGCTACCACTAATAAAATAATTTATGAATAGAAATGAAAGAAACGAATAATAGAAACAATACATAAATACACTACAGTAAAAATGTGATTTGTTAAAAATAAAAAAATAAAAAATCGACATCGACATCAAAAGCAATCGAAATTTCTAAAACTATAGATCGAGAACACAGTTTAAGCTTTGAGGGCGTTGGACGTAATAAAACTATTACGGTATTTGTTCGTCTTGAAAACGGGCCTAAATTTCCGTGTGTTTCTTAGGCTCGATCTAGAGGTATTAAGAACAAGCATTGTTTCTCTTGTCTTTCAAGCGAGCGAAGGCAAGCGCGAAGCGAGCAAGGAGCGCGAGACGCGCCGTGTTCCTTCCCCTATCGAGGGTGTCTCGTGCTTAACGCTCGCTTTATGCTTCATTCCTTTGAAAAACGCGAAAAAAAAGGACCAGTGTTCCACAGGCTAAATAACCGGAGTTACAGATTACATCTGTGACCCAGGCTAGGATAATATTGTAATATCAAGATGGTTATCAGAAACAAATAAATTTTAAAATTCAACACTTTCCCATCGATCAAAGCTACTTTATTTAATTGAACTTTATAAGCTAACTGAGCTAGATACCTTTCCCCAAGGAGAATCCCAGGCTGGTTCTCCTGGTTTGCTGGCTTTCCACAAAGCAAAGTCACGATCAGATTTTTTATCCCCTGGATTTTGACTAAGTTCTCCTAGTGGGAAAATGAATTAAAACAAGAATTAACTTTTGAATCCAGGCTGTGATTATCCTCTTTGTAAACATCTTTTCAGGTTTAGAATGACATTTCATCAGCCAGGAGAGACAAAGATGACTGAGTAATAAAAAAGTGACTGACCAAAAGTTTAAGTTTTCACTTTTCATCATGGCCGACAGCTTTCAAAACATGAATTAACTCACTTAAATCACACTGCACTTGTGGGAATTCAACACACAACATCACAGGGATAAGTTAATCATGATTTTTTATACATTATCTAGCTGCTTGAAATAATGACTGCAGCAGTTTCTGTAGCCTGCGAGAGCAGCTGCCTTTTTTTGGCTCTAATAAAATATTTTAGTGGTTGCTTAATAATTATAACAAACCCCAGCCTAACTTCCTCCATTCACGGGACTCTTGCCTTGGTCCCGAGGGTGTCCCCTGAATAGAGATTCCACCGTATAAGACAGACACTTCCCTTAAATGGACACCTAGAGCTGGTTCCTCCCATTCTACAAGTGTTAAAACCCTATTACCCTATCAGAAGGACACTTAAGCACCAGTCCCAACATTGACAGTCATAGAGAGACCTGACTGATTTTTTTCCAGTTTTCCCAAATTTCAATTTCATGGATAAAAAAGGTGAAAACTAAATTATTTTATCATTCTTGGAAACTATAACTAGAAACAGTGCACTTCTAATACAGTAGATAGTAATAACTATTTGGCATTACCCTCTCCCTCTGCAAGAGCATCCAGGTCACCCACTGCCTCAGGGACTAATCTGGCATAAGCATGTTTACCACTTGATGCAAACTTGATGGTGTCAAAATATACAGATCCATTAGAGTCGTACCTGAGGCAAGAATTTGCATGAGTAGAAACAACATTAGGCAATAATAACTGACTGGGTCTAAAGATTCAGAGAGACTCTTGAAATAATGTCAAGCTCTTCTTTAGTTTCACAAGCAAATACTGCAAATCCTCTCTTAAGCCCTCTCTCTCCTTTAAGCCCCCCTCCCCTCCCCCTTATTCATCCAAACCAAATACTGTAAATCCTCTATTATGGTAAGCCCCCTCTCTCTAGTAAGCCTCCCCTTTTCATAGAAAAAAGTTAATAAGCCCCCCATCTCTTTTAAATGAAATATTCTCCACCCCCAGGGTCAGTGGGTGAAGAGATTGCTTCCTAATGATAGCAAGAATTACTTACGCATAACCATTGTCAACCACTCTCTGGATGAAAGTGACAACTTCAGGGACGTACTGTGTGATTCGTGTTAAACAATCTACAGGAAGAATCTGGAGAAAAATGCTTGATTAAACTCAAAGGTCAAAGGCAAGCTAGAGCCCATACTGATACAGGGGAGTCATTAAGGATATGCTACACAAGACAGCATATGATAATGAATACGGCAAACAATGATAAAGAATAAGGCAAAGTAGATTACCATGCACCTACATTTAGTGCTTTCATGTCTTCATGGAATTCTTTCTCCCAGTGCTGGGTCAGTTTTGCAAATATTTTGTGGTCTGTCACATTTGAGCCAAACTGAAATAAAAAGAAATCACAAGCTCTTACATACTACATGCCATTTAAGTTATATTTCTAACATGTTGTTTAAAAATTTCCATTAACTTTGAATTTTATTCAGTGACTGGAGTTTAAGAAAGCTCTTAAACTAAAGAAAGGAAAGTTTGCATATTGTTGAGTCTCTTTCTTTTATAGAAAGATAATCAAGCAGTGGGAGGGGATGGGTGGAGGGTTGGATTCAGGACTTTGAATAGTCCGGTGGCTGCACTTCAGAAATAAAAATTATTGTAGCTTAGATGTGAGTTAAAGGAGCTATTTTTGTCAACCTACAAGGTTTTTCGCTTCAATTTGAATTTCAAAAATAATGGTACAGTTTTGCTATTTTAGACTATTATTGACGTGAAAATTTGAAACAACGAATTAATTAAGTTGAACTGGAGTAAGAAGAAAGGGGACCATGCACAGGCAGCCAATAACCCCTCCCTCTCCCACCCACCACCTGTTCCTGCTGTTACTGAGCACAATAATTTAGAGGATGTAAGGGTCACATCTGAATTTTTCACCGTGACAGAAATTTCAACAGCTAAATTGTGAGTTTCTTCTGTTACCTGGGAGTCCAACCATGCCGATAAGGGATCACTTGCTTCCTTTAATAACTCCTGTTAATCAAAATTGAATGCACTATTAAAATTGTTATAATTTTTTTTCTAATATGGCAACAACCAATATTGGATATGACAGAAGCAGGGATGTCACTAGGAGCCGGCTGCCAGCTAATTTCAGCGGCTGAAAAAAGAGCCTACCACCGGCTCAAATTGCTCTCACTGGAAAACAAAGACATGGGAAACCTTGTAGGTGCATTTGAGTAAAAAAAACCGGCTTGACCAATAAAAAAGCCTGCTTAGCTTTTCCCTAGCTACATCCCTACATATGTTACAAATTAGAGTAGTTTTGTGGTGAGAAGGCTGCATGAGTGTAGTATCAAACCCCTGAAAACTCTGACCAGTGCATCTATTGTATGCATTAAAACACCCCTAAGCATCAACATGTTTCAAGATTTCATTGAGTTTGTTCATATATAACTGTTTAAAAAGCTAAGAGCGAGTAATTTAATAATAACATTATTATTAAGTACTATATGAGCAACTTTTCATACCCCAGTTGCTTCCTTTACACCTTCAGAGTTACTTGATAAATGTAAATCTTTTAACTTTGAAATTGAAGATTTCGCCTTTTCCTGAAGGAAAAATAAAAATAAATGTAATTTTTCTACCATGTTTTGGTAGATATTACACTTGTCTTGCACATTTTACTCACTGCTCAATTTGGAAAAGAATAACTTGCAACTTGTATTAAATATCCATGAATATTACCAAAAAACCGAATAGGACATTTTATTATATAGACACGAGTGTTTTACTGGAAAATATACCACTTGTAAAATTCATAAAAACTACATCCGGGACCCAAGTGGTTTATTTTCCATAATCTCACACGTGAGTTTATCGATGATGTAATTTCTGTAATTTCCCTCTATTATTTTATCGATGTCTTTTTGTCTATATAATAAAAAGAACATTACACGGCGGCTTGAAGATATGAATTTTATTTTCTCGTGGCAAAAACAATATTTTGCCACTCGAAAATAAAATTCATACCTTCGCGCCCCTGTGTAATTCCTCTCTATATATAATGAGTTTTCTGTGTATTAAAGAAGTTGAATTTATAGGTTTGTAGCATGACACCATTGCATTAACAATAAAATGCATGACTTACAATAATTCTAAGGTACATATTTTTCTTATCTTCATCTGTAGTTTTCTTCATTTTTTCTGAGTATGGCTGAAAGAAAAAATCAGTAGAGTTCATGAAATAAGAAAATGGTAATACACATTTAAAAAGCAGATTAATATGTTATGTATGTTGTAAATTTGTTATGAAATTCAGGTTAAAATGGCTTTAACTCTAACGTTATGGAATGCTCCTTCTTTGGACTGATTGAGACTGCAGCTATTGTCTCATCATTTTACAGATGGAATGTACAGAACTTCAGAATGTGGAAAATTCAGCTCATTTCAGCAAAGACAACAATATTGATTCCCCATGAAGAACTAGAACATAAGGGGGAAAAACTCAGGTACATGAAGTTGGAGGTTAAACAGCCAAAGATAGAATAATCCAAACTTCCAGCACACGAATAAACCATACCAGATCTGTCTATAAGAAGTCTTACAATAATTTATTATTGTTATTAGCATTGATTCTAAAGTTTATCAGTTAAGAATAAGGAGGGGAGAAGGGGGCTTAAAAGAGATGGGGATGGCTTGATTAATAGCTTTCTTCCCCTAAAAAGTGGGGATTAATAGAGAAATTACAGTTTATTACTGATTTGTTTTGTGCATATGTAATACCTCAAGAGCAGTATTAACATCTTCAATAATTTTCTCAGGAGTGTTGCTCTCCTCAATGTATTTCTCTAACAAGTGATTTCTCCTGGCCCTAAAAATAATCTGAAAAATTTACGATCAAACACTGGACATCAGAGAAATACCAAAGGATATGTTATAAGTCAAAATTAATGGCAGGCTAAAATTTTTTTAATAACAGTCACTGTCACTGTATAAATTGATTCTTGATTTCCTTTGTCCCCAAGCCCTAATTTGTGAATAACTATAGGCTGTGTACAATTGCCTCCCTCCCCTCAGAAAAAATCGGGGAGAGGGGGCATCTGTACAGAGGCTAGAATAACTAGTATAGGGGTATAGGAGATGGAAGAAATTTAGGATCAACCTACACTTAAGTTAAAAAATTTTCCAGTGACCTAGTCAACACCTACATTCACTTCCACATGTGGTTCTAACTGTCAAGAACAGTCCATTCACAGACACATTTGGGACTACCAATAAATGTCTGTCTTGAAGAGATGTCTGTCGTATAGAGAGTCAAATAAAGGGAGTAAAGAAAGGCAGGGACCCAGGGTTCTCATTAATTTTTAAAGTAGACAGCTGGGATATAAAAGTAGGTGGCTTGGTAACTGAGTGCCGTAGGCAATTTCAGGCTTTCACAACCAGCCAGCCAGCTGCCGGCACTTAATGAGAACCCTGGGGACCAGCTTTTAAATTCCTTTTAACAAAGCCTCTATCTTATGAGATGTACATTAAGAGAGAGTCGACTGTCATGCTATGTGAATGAGATCCAAGGGTGTAACAATTTCAATGTTTACAAGTGCTTTTGCATGGCATTATCTTAAGTTAATTTTGAAACATCATCCTGAATCTTATTTTTTCATAGCTGTTCAGAATGAAAGGTTTGTGCTCGGACTAAGGCCAACAGAACAGATCTTTTATGATCAAAATGTTCTGTGATACAGCAGTATGGTTGAACAGTTCAAGCACTGGACTTGTTGCTACCCAGTTCAAGCCCCGCCCTCGACCACCACTCAGAAATCTTGTTTCACAGAAGTCTTGAGTTCAAATTCTTAACCACAGGCCCATGAGTTCAGCATTGATATCATGACATTTGAAGGCCTTCTTGCCAAAAAATTACAATTAAATCTGAAAGTTACATACCTTGTCATCAATGTCTGTGATATTCATCACATAAAACACGTCATAGTTAAAATATGACTGAAGCACTCTTCGTAAAATATCAAAGGTAATGTATGACCTGTAATGACAAGGGGAAAAACAGTCAAACCATTAGGTTGTGGTATAAATCTCAAAACAAAAATGCTGAAAGCTAATTAAGACACGCACTCTTGCACACTCTGCTAATCACCAATAACCTTCACTAAATGATTAACAAATCAGCTATAATTTCCAATCTTGCTGCATTAATTCTAGGCTTATAGATAACAGATAGAGTGCTGGAAAATATTCAAAACTTGAGGCTGAAACTACACTGGGGTAAATTGAAAGTTAAAAAAATGCAACTATTTTTGAAGCAAGTGAAGAACAAACAATAAAATTGCCAACAGTGCACCACTTCATTGTCTACAGTGAACAGTTGAAAGAAAAAGTTCTCAACCAATAAGAGAGTACTAAGAATTTCTCCAATAGTCCAGTTTTGAATTCGTTGTGGTAGCTGAATGGAAGCACTGAAGACTCAGAATTTATACAGGGTTAGCCTCGACCTAAAGTAAAATTCACAAAACCCTGCCAAAGATGCCTGAATTTCAGCTCAAAACAATTTAGACACAGTTGTGCACAGGTCTTCTTCTGACTAGAATTTGTGAACATTTAGCTTGGGTTGAGGTTAACCATGTATAAATGAGTCTTTTATAATTATTCAGTGGTTGCAATGAATTTGAAACTGGGCTAGTAAAAAATGCAATTGAAACGTCAGCTCATTATATATGTACATGACAATGTCTTGTTTATAAATTCACTTTACCTTGCATGCCCCATGTGGGATGCATCATAAACTGTGGGCCCACAACTGTACCAAAATACCCTTCTGCCATTTTGAGGTACAAAGACATTCTAATGTACAAGGAAAAAATTCCTCTCATCAGTAAGAATATATATTTGAATATTAACTTTTAATTTTACAAAAATAGGCAGTACTGCAGGTTCTTTACATCCATCATCTTCAGAAAAGAGACAGAGTGAGTGTATGAGTGGAAAGTGAGTAAAGGCAGGGGCATAGCCAGCCTATAGACCTGTAGACCAGACCTACAAATTTTTGGTTTGATCATTCTACTGCTTGTAATAAATCATGAGTTGTTGGGGTGAGCTAAAAAGCTTAAGAGCTCAAAGTGTTGGTGAGGTCAGTGTGTACTAGTCATGCATGCAATTTTCAGGATATGTGGAAATGAAAGTCAGCCAGGCCTACAACTAGTCCAAAAGCTGGCTATGCCCCTTTAGTAAAATCCAACTAGTGGTCTATCATCAATGCTGTGTTCTGATTTGTTGAGCTACTACTAGGCTATATGTTATAGCCCAGCTTTTTGGCGGCAAAAAAGGATTAAAGTCTAGCTTTATCTAGCTAAAGTTGTTTTGTCTCGATATTTTTTTACCAACTAGATGGATTTTACTAAAACAAAAATATTCCTCTCGCCCTCATGGCCTCTGAGTCAATAGCCCTTTCTGCCGAACCATTCGGGCTCGAGGAATAATTGTTAATTGTATGCATCTGCAAGCTTCTAATTCAGTGAGGATTTGTTATATTATTAAAAATTCCCTTATAAGGCTATGTTCACACTTTACTGCTGAAAGCTATAAGGTATAGTATAAACACCCATCTGATATTGACGCAGAGAGAGACGCACACTTCGACGCAGCTTTGCTCTGCACCAAAATCACTGTCCTTATGTGTCTGTTATCCCTTCAAGTCTGAATAGTGACCAACATCAATTTTCTCCTAACAATATCCATATGTTGCCAAGAGCAATGGTTATGAGAGTTAACAAAATGATCACTAAAGAGAAAATGCTTTGATCTGTTATCAAACTCTCTCAACTAATTTTTTAAAGAAATGTATGAAGATCAGTATGGAGAATTTATATGTGGATTTTAGGGCTTAAATGGCTACAGAGTGAACATAGCCTAAGCAGGACATGTGTTACAGGTCAAAATTTTATTTAGGCGAAATTTTTTTAACCTAGGTTGATTCTCAATTTCCTTTGTCTTCTAGCCCTAATTATTCATGAATAAAGGCTAGAGAAGGTTTTTAAGGTCCCACTACATAATGTTTGTCCTGCACCATGTTACGTTTCGTGCAAAGGGCCCATAAAGCTTACATTAAGCTTAAAAAAACGTGTAAAAATGTGTAGGGGAACAAAATATAGTTTTGTAAATTATTGATAGACCTTAAAAAGATTTATATTTAAAAAAATTAAAAAAAATTGTGATATAATTTATGCGTTATAGTATTTTCCTTTGTAAGACAACACAGACATCGGAGTTGGTGTGGAAACGTATATAAGCGTGATTGGTTGACCCATGCAATGAACTAAGCCAGCTAGCAAATATTGCATCAGACCACACTAGAGAAGGAAAAAATAGATGAAATAAAAAAATTCTAACCTTTTCACGGGTAAGACTGTTATAAAGCTTCAGTTCTCCTGTCCCTTCTGGCTGAATCCATTTCGGTAACGATTTTCCAGACATGTTTGTATCTTCCCTTGAAAAACTCCTGCGAATGATGTACCAAGAGGATGAAAAGAGGGAGCTAGATTTTTGATCGCGGCACTTTGTAAACGCGACAAGAAAATGCCTGGTCCTTAACATAAAATATCGTGGCAAATTTTGTAATAAAAAGGTTCAGACTTTTAGTTTTTCCCGGAATTTAGTGGTCAACAATCACGTACATTTCTTAGTTCATCCGCCATCTTTGAATAATTCAGTCCATTTGGGCCCCAGGCTCTTATCGATCAAAGACAAAAAGGGTCAAAAACACGGAAACCGCGAAAAAACCGCTTCAAAGGGCTCTTCAACGATAACAAATGAAATTTTACAAATATGGCACTCAAGTTTTCTATAAACAACTTATGGACATCCTGTACGTCAATGCCGAGGGAATTTTGCAGAAAACTTCCCTTTTTAAGAATAGACGGACACAGGAAAAAACACGTTCCTCATGATCTAGCCTGCGTAGCAAGCGTTTCCTCGCGAGTTCGTCGAGAAAGTTGAGACGAGAGCAAAAAAAGAGGAATGACGGGGGAGGGGGAGGGGAATAAAGGAACCTTTTTTTTTTTGCTCCCGCTCTAACTTTCGCGCAGTAACTCGATTGGAAACGCTTGCTACGCAGGCTACTCATGATCAGTCATTTGCGTGAAGTATTCCGCAGGAGCGCATACTGTTTGCGGAAAACTCAGAAGTAAAAACCAAGGCTAGAAAAAAAGGCAGCCATTAAGGATAGTCACAGAACAACCAAAAATCGCAAATGTGAGAGCTGGTCAGACGATTCTGAACCTTAAAATGGATCTCGAAACCGCTTAAAAAGCAGCCCCATGGCTTTTGATAATTTTTCCATCAACCGGGAAAGAAAGTTATTTCAGGCTAAATTTGCAGGTATGTGAAAAACATTTTCAAGTACTCAGAGTAAATGAAACTGATATAATTGGATCTGAATAGACTATTCTCTCAAACAGCTAATCATAACAGAAAGACTTTCTATTAACCATGTAGACTTTCTCAAAGTCCTTCTCGCAAAAAACATAAAAAATCTACCGCTTGCGCTTCGCGCTCGTGAAAAAATTCGAGCTCGACTTTTAGGCAAGTCTATTATCCACGCTACTTGTCTTTGTTCGAGCTAGAGATGACGAAGAAAAAAGAATCGTGCGCTCTGCGATTGTGATTATGACGGTTAGATGACGTAGATAGAGGTGGTCTAAAAGTTTCTTACAATGCAAAACACAGCAGCAACATGGTTTTTTGCCACTCGCTGGTTTGGTTATTTTGTGGCCTATAAGCTATTATAGTTTGTATGCCGCAATGTAGCCAACCCAGGAAGTAGAACTGACTACAGCAGTCAATGTGGTGCTTGATGAAAAGGTAAGCTTAATCTTATTCATTACAAAATGTAAATGCCCTGAAGAAGAATGTGGAACGTTGAAATTAGTTTCTTTAACTCAGAAATCAGACTACAAGACAACCCGTATAGTTTTTAGGCAAGGCCGTCACGGACCAAAAAGCAAATCCTGGAGAGAATGAGACTAGCAAAATTTCATGAGGCTCACGCGCTTCGCACAAACTCTCACGGGGGCATCTTAAAAAAAAACCATTTTGTGGAATAAACTGACGGTTCAGTTTGCAGAGCTACCGTTTAACCTTTTGCCCGTTACTTTCAGCGAAACGAAAATAGAGCCTGATCTCAGGTCATTGTGTACCGAACTTTGCTGCGATACTTGGTCTTCAGCATTGCAGGGCTAATTGAACTCAAAGCTGTGCTTACCGCTGAAACCAAGAAATTCATCCCTTCTTGACTTGAAGGATGAATTCCTTGGCTTTAGCGGTCCAACATATAATAACGGAGATAAAACAGCTCAATTTAACAGAACAGATCAAGGGTGGGTAAGTATATATATTTAGCATGTTTTTCGTCATATTTCTAAAGGTCTTATTCACAAGTTCAGTACCGCATGCCTTGGTTCTCTTTTGAGGCAAAGTATCTTTCCTCTTTGTAGCCAAAAATAACCTTAAAGTGTGAACGTAAGTTTTATTACTTTGACAAGTATCGTCATCAGTTAGAATAAACTTCTACCACAGTTTTTTTACAGAAATGCCAAAGGAAGGCTTCTTCAAACGTTTTTGCCTGGGAACTCACATGGAGATAATAAGCCAAGGCAGGGTTGAATCCGAGGTCGGTGGGGGAGAGGTGGTCAGGGGCAGTTTGGGGTTGAAGGGGTACCGCCAAGGCGTTCAAACCTAGACCTTGCTTAAGACCGTCGTAAGACAATAAGTCCTTTCGCTACCCCGTTTAAGACAAGAGACCTTACTTTACGGCCATGATCACATTTCGTTTCGCATATAGGGAGTAAAGTATGTTTTTAAAAACTGGGATGATCCTGGAAGTTTTTCTTGGTTCCACAAATGTAGAACCTCTACAGACTTTTAAAGGCGTAAGGTCAAAACTATTCAAGACACTTCAGTGTAAAATTGCGTAAGACTCAATCCCTTGTAGACCATACCCTGTTCAACGCCACATAACCGTTTAGTCCAAACATGGGAGCGCCCCCTCCCCTGGGAGTTAGATGTACCGCTTCGGTTCCTCCAAGGCCCTTGGGGGACCCTTCTGGGCCTTATTCTTGCGTCATTCCCTCTTGAGTAATGACGTTTGCTCACACTTCCGACAATTTATACTAATGATAACGGTAGGGTGGCCTGTTCACAGGCTAACGCTAGGATAGTTGCTGCTTCAACACTAAAAGCGTCCAAAAAGAAAGGAAACAAAAGAAAGAAAAGTTTCGTTAAAATAACGGCTAGCCGTTTTTTCAGTTTTATTGGTCCAAATAGTATTTCTTTTCATATTACATCTAGATCTAAAACCATTTTGACTCATATTCTTTCTTCACGTTTATAACATGTAAAATTCTCGCTTAAGCTACCTGGGTGAGGAGCAGTCTATAATTTCTAGTATGCTATCATATTTGTTTTCACAGGGGACTCACATAGTCTTGGAGGTCGCTTACGAGAAAAGAACCACAAGGGGTCTCTTCTGAGAAGTTGTCCTGACACATCTACTTTATGAAAAATAATTTATTGCGTGTGATTTCTAAGTTAGGATATGTGCAGGTCCATGTTTTTATTAAAAGTTCTTCCTATATTCTAAGTAGTATAGTACTCACAACGAATGGAGAAATCAGACAAGGCGTCAAGTGGTCGCTTACAAGAAGTTAAAAACAATAGAAAATTATAAAACCATCAGCCCCCAAAAATGGTCGCGATAAAAATACAGGAGTTGGTCGTTTACGAGAGGTTCCAACGGTAGGGTTTTGAATAGTAAAAATTTGGGTGTTCTGGATAGCTGGTCGCACATGGAGGATGGATCTTGTTCTGTATTCTCACACTTAAATCGCCTTTTACCTGCCTCTCTTTCCTCGCTCCTCGGCTTTAATCGTGATTTTCATTATTATCTAACTCGTTCTCGTTTCAACTTGCATAAAATATCCCTCAGGTATCAATTTGCGATTAGTTCTCAAGCCCCGACTATTTGGAACGATATCCTCTTGACTGTCCGTGACAGCCTTACCACTACTAACTTTAAAAAGAAACTAAAACTTCACTTGTTAAGCCTGAATTGAACTAGCGCAGGATTCTCATAGTTTATTGTTAGTTTATTTGTCGCTAGTTCCGTCTCTGTTATAGGACTGCATGCATGTAAACTTGTTTAATTTCCGTTTTGTATCTTGTTTTAGTTTTGTAGTTTAGCCTACAGTCTTCATTTCTCTATAAAATAATTTGTCAGTCTGACCACAGGCCGTATAAGCCCCCGGCTTTGGCTTTACTGAGTTTGTACTATATGAGCGATGAAATAATAAAGTTAAGTTAAGTTAATGGACTGTATTACTCTGACAAATAGAGATTAGTATATTGTATAGTTGAACTGAATTGTTTTATTAACATCAGCAATTGTTGACGTCTTGACACCCAAAACGTTTCTCAACAACGCTACATTTTCTTTTTCCAGCTTCTGCCTCACACTATTTTGATGTCATCGCTCTGAGAAATACACATGATTTGTGTCACCAACGGTAATAATACAGCAGAAAAAGAAGCAATAACTGATACAAATTTTCCACGCCAACGAAAAAATTGAATCACAATCTGACACGAAATTTTATTCTATATGGAAACCTTATCCATGAATAAATATAAGGCAAAAACAAAAATGGATAAGTTTTCAAACTGGAATGGCAATCTGCCTAGCAAATGTACTTACAGTGTTGTATTTTGAAATAACTCTTACACAAAGCCAACTGCAAGCTTGTTTTCATCAGTAATACTACCTCTAGTACAATTTATATAAATGAACTAAAACCTAGATCATCTAAACCAAGTATTAATTTTGCAGTACTTCGTTATAAAATCTTGCCTCGGAAAACAAAACAATACATGTGTAGACAATAAATAGCGTTTTTAAATGCATGCTTAACTTTTCTATTAGCCTGCACAGCATAACACTTTTGGTCAGAAACGTGGGTGAGGGCAGTGAAACTGTGAGGCGATTGGGGTGGGAGCAACAAGAAACCTGACAAAACTGCCATGCTACGCAGGCTACTTTTTGATCAGCAGTACATAATTTTTCTTTACCATATCACCTGTTTTCCAGATTTTACCAATGCAACTGTTGAAAAACTTTCACTTGTGACCCATATTAATGATGATTTTATTACAATACGTTTCAATCCTGACCCACCTGTTTCACTATAAAGCCTAAACTAATATTTAAATCTTTTCTAGTGATAATTATTCTATCTTCGCCTTCAATTGTCTCTTAAAAATGACTGGAAATAGTGATAGTATGGCACAGACTATAACAATCATGACAGACTTGAAAGACATTACATCTCCTGTAGCTGTCAGTACATACAACTCAACCCCTGCACTGATAAAACCAAATGATGGTGGAGCCACTCCTGATGAAATGGAAACAAAAAATGAATAAATATTATTATTAAAGTGTCAAGTGTTAAATTTCTAGAACAATAATTACAAATAGCTCATCATAAAAGTTTTGCTACTGTAATGCTGATTCAACAAATGCTGTGCTTAACAAGTGATAGTTGAAAAAGAGATTACCATTTTTAATATGTTCTACGTGACAAGATTGGGTTGGTCAGGTAATAAACATGAAACAAAACAGTAATCTATGGGTGACACTTCAAAAGTACAGTAATAGACTACTGTATAAGTATTATAATTCCTGATACTGGTGGTATAATTCAAATCTAGTAAATGGCCAGTGTTTGGGAGATCATAAGTTCAAATCTTGATGTTCGCAATTCAATTTACGGTACAATTACAATTAATATTATGGGAAATAAATGCGGATTTGAAAAATTGTGTTAATTTAAGTCCATTTATCATCACAATCATTAAGCAGAAATATTCTTCAAAATATAGTGAAGATGTGAACTCCATTTCTCACACTTCTTTCTTGTTGCACTAGTTGGATGATTTACATGTAAACGACCTGAAATTTTTCTTTAACATACATACCTACAAATGTGCCAATGAAAAATGGTAAAAGTGGAACTCCTATAACTGGTGAGGTGATGTTAATAAACCAGTTGGGAAGAAATGGAGTGATACGCAAAAATATTATATAGCTCAAGAGGTTGTCTTGGTGGGAGACCTGTTAGAAAGAAATATAAAAATTATATTTTCAAAATAATAGCACCAACACATAGCACTTCAAATAATTTAAATGCTAGAGAGTATAAAATAATGCTTTAACGATAAAAAATTGGGTAATTCTCTGACTCGAGGTTAGAGGCTAAAATAAAGCCTTTTGTGGGTTTACTAATATATTATTATTCAGAAACCCTGGATTCAAGAGGTTTGTCTTAAATCAACATTGTGCGAAAATGAAGCTAGCAGTAAATATTCCATCCTAGATATTTTGAGACCATACATCTGTAGCTAGGGTGACTTTTTAAGGTCAAAGATGGTGATAATTATACCATCAAACTGCTTGTAAGCGACCACCCAAACTGTGACGATTTAGTTGTTGTTTATGGGAGGTGGTCGCTTAAAAGAATCAAACCACAGGTGGTCTCTCTAGGATGAGGTCCAGACACATCTACTTTTTGGCAAAGAATTTATTGCATGCAATTTCCAAGTTACATATATGTGTAGTTCCATGCTGTCACTAAAAGTTCTTCATATACCATGACTGGCATAACACATACAGTGCACAACGAGACCACACCAACTTTCAACAGTTTAAAAAAATGGTAATCTATAAAACAATGAGGCCAAAAGGCGGTCACTTTGTGAGAAGTGGTTGCAAATGGTGGTTCAACTGTATATTTAACAGTTATTCCTCAATGAGGGCGAGAGGAATAATTGTTTTAGTAAAATCCAACTAGTTGGTCAAAAATATCAAGAATAAATTAATCTAGTTAAAAGCTAGACTTTAATCCTTTTTTTCCACCAAAAAGCCTGCGCTTTTTGCTAATAGGGGGCTATAACATGTAGCCTAGTAGTAGCTCAACCAATCAGAATGCAGCATTGATAATGGACCACTACTTGGATTTTACTAAATTATAATAGTTCAAAAAACAAAGCTCTTGCGCCAACAGTTACCTCAGAGAGGGCCTATTAATGATTAAGAAATAAAACACTAATATTAATTAGTATCAGCAAATAATAGTACCTGCTCCCGCCACTGATTAACTCTCTCTGGCAAGTAACGTTGCACTAACTGACGACCAACCAAGTAGAATAATAAATAGCAGAACGAAGCACCTACACTAGAACACTAAAAACAAAGTGACAGTTGTGTATCAGGCCCTCGTTGTTCAAAAGTTGGATAGCGCTATCCACCGTATAAATTGCTATCCAGTGAATTTGTATTATGAAAACCAATAATTATTATGTTATCCACTGGACAGAGATAGCACATATCCATCTTTTGAACAACTGAGGCCAGATGAATAGTCAATCGGACTAATCTGAAGCTAGAATAGGAACAAATAATATACTTAACAAGGTTTGTTGTTACAGTCAAACCTGTGTTCAACGGTCACCCTTGGCAAACAGCAAGGTGACTGTTATATACAGGGTGACCACTATATACAGGGCCGTTATATACAAGTTTGACTCTAGTAACAATACTATTTTGAATTGTTCATTCTCTGAGATTCAGTGTCAGTTATTTGGGATTGAATGATGCCTGGCACACTTTGTTGCACCCATAGTTTTAACAAAACTGGGAGAGCTCCTGGGTTCTCTGCACTCTCACTAAAACAGAAAAAATTTTCTGGTCAAAAAGAAGCACAGAATTCAAACACTTCTGAACGTCTCTGATAACCTGCCATTCTGTTTCCAATGATGTGAATGCATGTATAAATAAGTATAATTTAAGTACTGCTTTTTATCATACATTTATAGACATTTCAATTTATTGTTTTGGGCTAAATTGGTCAAGATAGCTTGTAATACTTTTTTCAGTTTAAAACACAAATTATCAAAGCTAATCAGAAACTCATAAGGGGTTGTTCTCTTTGTCCGACATGCTCATTCACTTTCACAAGTACTATATTTGGAATGAGAGGAAAAGATAACCAAACAATCAAACTTTGCACACAACATGACATCATTTTACCCCAAGTTCCCCTCCCACTAAAAAATATGGAGTTTTGGCAACTACAACAGTGACAGTTACGAAAACATCATATCACACAAAAAGTAAATTTGGGTTGCTTCAAACTTCTTGGCCCTTATTCCAACTCATTCAATTTGTTAAATGTTGGCAAATGTTTCTGGAGTTGAATTCTAAAACACTGTATTCTAAGAAACATTAAATAGTTTTCTCACGTTCACTTCCTTCATAAAACATGAAATTACGAAGTTTCACACCGTAGTTGTGCAGTATCGACAAAGAAATGTGCAAAAACAGTGTGCTGCACGCGTAGAGTTTTGTTTTCCAAAATATGGTACTTAAAAGAATGAATATTCAATCATGTGCATTGAACGCTAGTTACACGTTTTTGAGTTTCTGAGCTGATGTCATGGAAACTTTCTAGTAACATTATTATAATTATTGGAAAAAATTCTTAAGTAACTTCACTTCATTGAAAATTTAATAATCTTATACACACAAATGTATTGACACCTACTACAAAGACTGTGTGCTATCTTTTATCAGAGAGAACCACAGGCAAAGAGGAAATGGGCCAATCAGAGAACTAGTTTACAGTTGTTATGCTATAATACTATGTACTCACCAGACAGACAAGAAATAGTGCTAAGGGAAAAGGGAACAAGAATCCTGATAAAATACTGAGAAAAATTGATCCAGGAATTGCAAATGTTTGTAAGCTATCAAAAAGAAGTTAAGACTTTGTAACCACAAGAGTTAATTAAAGCAAGTTTGTTGTTATTATATATATCTCAATATAATAGGCCATTTACACAATGGAGACATATTACTACTAAGACCAGAATCCTTTTCGTTTTTACTATGATACTTAAATTTCTTAATCCCAGCAAGGTTTAAATAACAAAAGCTCTAATTTGCACGAGAAAGCGAAACCCTGAAGGATTCTACTAAGTCATAGTAGTAGAATGATGTTGTCATGCAAATGGCTTTTTAGTCCCCAAAAGCATCTTTGAACACTTAGACATTATACTTTTTCTGTTCTTGACAATCGCATTTGTCTTTGGGTCTTTTCACTTGGATTTCCTACCATGAAAACTAAGTGGTGGTTATAAGATTAACAACCAACTGGGATGGTTGCAAGGGGATTATTTTTGCAACCTACATACAATAATAATTATTATTACTTGTATTTTATCATCATTTTAGCTGGTAAAAAATTTTACCATTAAATTACATTTAATGTAATTTCCAAGTAAAACTTATGACAATGTGAACATAACAGTTAGTGCATTACAATCAAAAGGATACAAAATATATATAACAACAAATCCTACAAGAACTTGAGTGAAGTACTCATCAGTGTAATTAGATAGAGCTTTCCCCAGGCCTTTGGCATCTTCCATATTCCATGGTAATTTTATTCTGGCCTTGTCTTCCCTAAAAAATCAACTCAATAAGATTTTTATGCATCACCCTGCAAGCAGAGGGCCTTTGATCTTAATAACAGGGAGCTCAAGCAATAAGGACAGCAACAGCAATGAGAATGGCCAAAAAGCAATAGATTTGATAAGCAAAACAACAACTTTGCATGTGCACCACGCCTTTTTGTACATTTCTTCACTGCCACTGCACAATACCGACATGTTATTTCATATTTAGTGGAGGGCATGAACAGAAGACAATGACTTTCTTTTTCTTTTCCTGTACTTTGACACAGTCCTTTAGAATTCAACTCCAGAAAAAAATGCCAACATTTGATGAATTGAGTGAGATGGAATAAGAGTGATAAAGTTTGGGACAGCATGAATTCACTCTTTAAGTGGACGTTTTAGTAGCTGTCACTGTCATAGTTGCTTAAGCTCCCTAATAAGTCAGGGGCTTTGCTGGCAGGATTGTTGACTTTATTTCTCAAATTGATGAATACATTTAAATAATTGAAGAAACAGGTATTCTGGTCATTAGGTTACACGTATCTCTCAGTGACCAGGTGATTGTACTTTCTACAAAAACTTTTTCTGGTCTTAAATAGAATTTCCTCTTTTAACGGGAATTGTATTGTTAAGTTGAAAAAGAAAACCTTTGAAGCCACAATCAGCAACAAAACTGTAGAGACATTTTCTTCAAATGTGGTAACTTCAGAGAACAAAACAATCCACAAACTCTCCCCTCCATTCAAAGTTGGGGCATTTGTTATTTTCTACAGGTAGCTCAAACAGCAGCACAATATTGGGTGGAGGGGATGGGGAAGGAAAAGCTTTATTTTTCCCTTTTTAAATTAGCAAAATGTCAGAGAGGCCCTTGCATAAATTTTGTCAAGCAAATTCAAATGGTTATATTTCCTCTTATAGAACTCATATCCATTAACAGTTTTGAAAACTTACTATTAAACTTACAAAGAAGAAACAAACTTACAGTCTAAGATTAGGAAAGCTCCAATAAACAAACGCCATTGCCACAAGAGATGCTACAAAGATAAGACCTAATACAACAAAGGGTCCAGTGTCACTTTCAGCTTGCTGTGCTGTTGTCCTTGACTCTAAAGAAAACAGACAAGAGTTGTATGTGATTAAAAAAGTAAACCCAGGAATGAAAAGATCTTTGCAAATACATCAGATCACACTTAATCAATAAATAAACCAAGGACATGATGTGTGTAAGTACCAAGAATCTACTCTTATCTCTTTTTCTTTCATTGTTGTTTACCTTTAACTCTTTAAAACCTAAGATTAAAATTTGAATTCTCATTTGTTTCCACTATTCATTTCCTGGTATTATACTCTGGTTATTGATCTGATTGGTCAATCAGATCAATAACCAGTGTATAATACCATCAACTGACGTGATACAACTCACTTTGACTCTGAAGATGACTACCGCAAAGGTTGTCGAAAGGTCAGTCACTGTCAACAACAACAGTCCTATTCAGGACTACGTTCACCCGGACGATCAAACTCAACCTACTTTTGAAATGACTCCTGGGTTCAAACCTTTCACAGTTTTATGATCTCTACAGTTGACTCAAAGCAGTGGTTTGCAGCCACACAACAAGGCAGCCATGTTGCTTAAAAAAACGATAAGACCTTTTTTTCCAGAATTTGTACTTAAACAAAAAACCAGTCACCAGCAACATATGTAATTTAGTATTTTTTTCTCGAATTTTTTTTTCTAATGTCAGGCTACGATCATGCCTATTTAAGGATCGATAAGGATGTATCCACTTGTTATTTTAATACTAATACGTTTAAGTTAAGTTAAAATAAAGTATTTAAACTTTAATACGTTTAAAGTTTCTCGTGAATGTTCGATTAGACAAATGGGCAAATCGAGAAGTACTGAAGAAAGTCTTTCACACATTTTCACTACAACTGTGATCATCAAGGTGTTGAATATTGGTTTCACATGGTTTTTTAAAAAAAAAACATTCAGATTTACGTGGTGAAGGGCGTATACCACCGAGTATTTCCCACGGAAAAGCTATAGTTAAAGGAGTTTCTCTCAAAGTATCGATTTGCGAGGCAGGCATTACTCTAGCTTACTTTTGAGTGACGAGTCTGTCACTGTCCTCGACGTGGACGCCATGTCGTTAACGTAAGTATTGTCGTAATTTTGCCGCAGTGGACTTCTTCCCTTGACTTTAAGCAGCTTTTCAGGAAGATCTTCAACTGTCATCCTGCCAGAATATGGCAAGTGTTAGAGAAAAAGACAATGAATTAGCACACGATGTCCAGCTGGAATACCTTACGTCATGCTTGTAAACTCACCGGCTTGCGGAGCTTTCTTGGTAACCTGGCTTTTTCAGCAGCACTGGTAACCTGGCACTTTTTAAACGAGGCTGAGTGCAAACCCAAGGAGGATTTTCTCTTCAATTTTTAGCCAAATGGCCTGAAGGTCTACTGTGCATTGATAAGAACTGCTGCAGTGCAGTGAGTCAAATGATTGGAGACGATCCCGAGGGTGGGATCAAGGGTAGCCCTTTCCAGATTCTGCTCGGCAACTTTGTAGCAACTTTTAGGATTTTGAGCAACTTTTTTGTCAGAGAGCAACTTCTGGCAACTTTTCGGAAATCTAGCACTTTTTTGGTACCTTTTGGGCTATTTTGAACCAAAATGCTCAATAACCCGTCCTTTTTTTTAAATAAACATGTTAAAATTCTCTTCGTTAAAATTTTAAACATCTTTCTGGTAAAACTCATATTTTTACCCTTTAAATGGGTATCTTGTGGACGTGGTCATTAATTACAAGAGTTGGGTTTGGTTTGCCTCAACGGTAATAAATCCGTGTTCTCCTATACGAATACAAAAAATCCGCTTAAAATATCTTCATCTAACATGTAACTATGTGTCTCAACATAACTATGCATCACTAACCATCAGCACCAATCACTGTCCATCACTACACATCACTACCTATCACTACATATCACTACACATCACTACATAATATATAGATTTAGCCAGGGCTAAAAGCGAAGATCCCATTAATAAATTTATAATTTAAATCAAACAATAAACTTGTAATCCACAAATCGGTTAACTTAAGGGCACATTCATGTGACTTTCGAGGGAAAGGCGAAGTTATTTTAGAGTGAAACATCTTACATCGAGTTGATAGCCTTATATGTACACCCAAAAAATAGCAAACATCTTCGATCACCTTCAAGAGCCATAATGGCTCTTGATCACAGTAGATTAGGCCTCAAAAACAAATTCTTGGAAAACAAATCAGGCCGAATTTTTTTTGCGTTCGACAGGTTTACTTTACAAATTCTTGCCAACAAATCTAGGGGTGTGTAAACCAACCTTTCATACTCTAGCCCTTTTAATATACATCACATCTGAGGTGAAACAATTCTATTTATCATACGAACCTCGGACAGAATGCGGCATTTCACAATTTTTCAAGACAAATTACACTTAGTCAATATTCAGGACGATCAATCGTGGGCTTTTAGCGAAACCGTTCAAAAAAATTCCAAAATCACCCATACGGCCAGCCGGTTCTCATTTCTAGTGCGAGCTGTCAGTGTGGTCGAGTGTTTGAATGAACTTTAATAGAGTTACCCTTCAACACAATAACGAATTTATAACTAAATATTCTTCGGATCGTTTTCTTTCTATTTGCGGTGAGAAAAGATATTGTGAAAGCCTTTTAAAGTCCTGTAAGCTTATATCAAACCTGACACTATGTCAGATCATTGACTCAAATCTTACAAACGTGCATAAACTTGCCGCATAAACTGTACTCGACTTCATGAAATTAGATATAACAAAAACAAACATCAAATACAATAATTACTCAGGCTTACCATTCGAGATTCAGTTCCTGAAAGCTATCAAGGAAGGCCACAGTTGGTTGCGACTTTTAAACCCTCTTACGCATTAAGCAAGGTAAAAACAAAAACGATGCCATCCGAAATCGGATTACCGAATTTTGACAAGCGACGCATTTCTCAACCAAAAACCCAATAAACAAACCAGCCATGAATAACAGAAGACTCTTGATAGAAGCTGTATTTCATTTTGTACATCCGGTCTAAAAAGGCAGTTAAAAACATCACAAGTTGACACAAAACTCTGTCAGCTTCAGCTGTCAAAGTAAACAACTTTCAAGATGCTGCATAAATTTTCCGCATGAACTCACCTGTCAAATTTTGACCAATCAGAGCATAAAAATTGGACGTAGAGCGTGACCAACGCGTGACCATGGTAAGAAAAGGTCTTCTCCGCCTGTATTTTTAAAAAACCTGGCTGAATTTTCGCGTCCGAGGTCAGTTTGAAATCAAAATCTTAATAGTGCGGGGCCATAATGACATAAACACAACAAATTTCATATGAATCACTGGAAAAAATAAACTTAAGCCAGCGATCATTTGAAGCTGGTAATTTGTCAACGGATAACTGCAAAAAAAGACTCGACCTCGATGGGTCGATACTTGAGCCCGCGGTACGGCCAGGTGATACTGGTCAGCGGATACCCTGTTTTGACAGCTGTCAATTGATCACAACATTGATGTGCAATTAGTTTTTTCCTGGGCTCCCAAACTCGCTAGAAAGTGTGAGAGTAAACATTGGTTGCCCTGTGGTGCGGACGGACGGTCGTTCGTTCGTTCGGTGTACGGTCACGTGATTACCAAATTTTCTTGGATGGGTAGATTCCCTTAGCTATGGGGCTCCGTCCACGCGCGCGCTTCGCGCGCGTGGAGCTCCGCTATTACTACAGATCACTACTCATCTCTACCCATCATTACACATCACTACACATCACTACCCATCACTACCCATCACTTCCCATCACTACCCATCATTATCCATCACTACACATCGCTGTCCACCACTACCCATCACTATCCATCACTACACATCACTACCCATCATTACACATCACTACCCATCACTATCCATCACTACCCATCACTATCCATCATTACACATCACTACCCATCACTATCCATCACTACCCATCACTATCCATCATTACACATCACTACCCATCACTTATATCCATCACTACCCATCACTACCCATCTTACACATCACTACCCATCACTATCCATCATTACACATGACTCTTCATCACTTTCCAACACTACCCATCACTATCCATCACTATCCATCACTTCACATCACTGTCCATCACTACACATCACTATCGATCACTACCCATCACTATACTACACATCACTACTCATCACTACATATCACTACACAACACTGTCCATCACTACACATCACTGTCCATCACTACACATTATAATTAATCCATCACTACACATCACTGTCCATCACTACACATCACTATCTATCACTTCGCATCACTGTCCATTTCTACACATCACTGTCCATCACTACACATCACTATCCATCACTTCACATCACTTCCCATCACTACACATCACTACAAATCTTATCCACTTTTACACATCACCGGCCATCGCTACACATCACTATCCATCACTTCACATCACTGTCCATCACTACACATCACTACACACCACTATCCATCATTATCAATCACTTCACATCACTGTTCATCATTACACATTACTACCCATCACTATCTATCAGTACACATCACTATACATCACTACCCATCACTACCCATCACTACTCATCACTACTCATCACTTGCAGCCTCCGCGTAGCTCCGATTCTACGTCTGCTCTAAATTTTCTTGAAATTTGTTTATTATATATGTGCTGTGATTCATTTTTTTTAAAATTCAGGAAAGCAATGCGGTGTGGATGATGTTCAAGCAATGTATATAAAAGTTATTGATAGTTTAATGGAGATTGGCATTGCTCTTCCACTGGAAAGAAGGACTTTCAATGTCCTCTATAATGAGATAATTAAACTTAAAAAAGATTTCGATGACTAGTCGTAGAGTATGGCTTACGATCCCCGCCAAAATTCATGTTTTGAATACGCCGAGTGAGTATCTATAAAATGCAAAGTTCGTATGTACTGGCTAAGGCATCAAAAGTGGCAGTGTATAAAAATTTGTTCGTCCAGTTAAAAATTATATGGTTTGAATGTGTAATTGACAAAGCGAGTTCAAAGCTAAAAGACAATTGTAAAAATGTTCTACAGTAATGTGAATTGTAAGTGTAAATTTTTTATTTCAGCCTTAAAATTGAAGCTTTGAAGTTAAAAATTAAAATCAACAAATTAATATTTAAAACATGATTTTTGGCGGGGATCGTACCCTATAGTAGAGTTGGCTGTTATAAAGTGAATGTAATTACAATGATCATCTATTGAGTGACAATTGCATTGACGGTAATAAGGGACGGACCAGTATTTTTCTAGAGGGAAGGGAGGGGGGGGGCTGGGAAATTATCTTTTGAAAACATGTCCTTAAAACATATACAGTCGACTCCCGCTAACTCGAACCTAACCTTCAGGAGAAATCGATTTTGGAAAAAATTTTTGGAAATCCAGGGGAAATCGATTTTGGTCCGAGTTAGCGAGGGTTGTAGCAAGCACCAGTGTCTAATCCTCGGTGATACGGAGTATGGTTTTTCCCTCCCAGTAAAGGACACGTTAGAGATTTTTGGAATGGAAATAGATAATAAACTGAATTTTTCTAAACATATATCAAATGTATGCAGAAAGATTAATAATCAATTTAATGTTATGTTGCGCTTTCGAAAACTCATACGCAGGGAAAGCTTATTCAAACTTTACAAAGCGTATATTTTACCTCACTTTTATAATTGCTCCTCCCCCCCTTGGGCGGAGCACTTAGTCCCCAGGGCTCTCCCCCCCTTGGGCGGAGCACTTAGTCCCCAGGGCTCTCCCCCCCTTGGGCGGAGCACTTAGTCCCCAGGGCTCTCCCCCCCTTGGGCGGAGCACTTAGTCCCCAGGGCTCTCCCCCCCTTGGGCGGAGCACTTAGTCCCCAGGGCTCTCCCCCCCTTGGGCGGAGCACTTAGTCCCCAGGGCTCTCCCCCCCTTGGGCGGAGCACTTAGTCCCCAGGGCTCTCCCCCCCTTGGGCGGAGCACTTAGTCCCCAGGGCTCTCCCCCCCTTGGGCGGAGCACTTAGTCCCCAGGGCTCTCCCCCCCTTGGGCGGAGCACTTAGTCCCCAGGGCTCTCCCCCCCTTGGGCGGAGCACTTAGTCCCCAGGGCTCTCCCCCCCTTGGGCGGAGCACTTAGTCCCCAGGGCTCTCCCCC